GGTTGTACCTGCTAATTAGTATATCATCATTACCTGGGGAGGAGCCATACCGTGTAAGTCTTATTTAATAAGGTGTTGTAGAGATTTTGTAGTGAAGTGCTCTCTCTCTCTCTTCTCTGTTTTGTCCTGTTGACATCGATGGAAAATTTCATTATTTCCTCCTCGTTACCATAAAAGCCACTATTTCTGTCTAAAGTTAACATAAAGCCACTATTTCTTTCTAAGTTACATAAAGCCACTATTTCTGTCTAGTGTTAAATAAAGCCACTATTTCTGTCTAAAGTTAACATAAAGCCACTATTTCTGTCTAAAGTTAACATAAAGCCACTATTTCTGTCTAAAATAACATAAAGCCACTATTTCTGTCTAAAGTTAACATAAAGCCACTATTTCTGTCTAAAGTAGGTTTTAAGTTTTGTCTATACTGCGGATGCTTCGAGAAAATCTAATCACATTATCTCAAATTTCTTTCCTCTTGTAATCATCATTCGCTGTCTTTTTTCATTTCACTTTTTTCTTTCCTCTCTGATGAGTAAGAAGAACTCCCAAGAACCATCGACCTACATCAACAGCAACTCTTTCTCAGAACCCCTTCAGCGTCTCGTGGTACACATTTCTAAACTCACACAGGATCACCACAGAAGAACTGACCGTCGTGGAAATGACATTATTGACACTTTATGATCCTTCCTTCTTGTGTCAGTTTGCTATATGACACTGATGATTCTCCCTATGACACTGATGATTCTCCCTATGACATTCTGAGACTTTATACTAGTCTTTTCCCTGTTGTTATCTTCATCTCTGTTAGAAAAAAAAGTTCCAATGGTTTTTTTTTTTCTCTCTGTGTCCACCAGATTTGATTGGGTCCATTGGTTGCTCCCCTTCCAGTGTATAAAATAATTCTATATGTCGTGGGGGTGATGCAAATATTCCTGGCTCAGTTCATGAATCTCTATGTGTATGTCACAGATAGGAAAGGGGAAGAGCCACCTGGTGTGACTAACTAGGGAACTACTCATGTATATCCTGTCTAGGTTTTGACAACAATGTGTGGTCTAGATTTTCTAACCTATGTCAAATACACAGTAGTGCTCTGTGTCGTGTAGTGTTTGTTGGAAATATATACAGTGTCAACATTATTGGTTTTAGTTTACATTATGACGACACAGATTACATTATAACAATATCCAGTCTCATGTTGCTAGTTCTTGGACACTATACTGTGTGTGTGTGTGTGTGTGTGTGTGTGTGTGTGTGTGTGTGTGTGATTACAAATGTCTTTGTATATACAGTGTTCCAGTTGTGGTATAGGTGAATACTTGCCTACAGATACTATTTTCCTCGTATATGTCAATAGATTCTCAACCTTCAGTCTACAACAATCCAGAGAGCCTGAAACACACGTCACCAACACAACATACAGTTAGCCAATGCAGTCTGCCTTCCCTAATACGTCGAGTTGAATCAGGGCTGTACGTCGACCTTGCCGGATACGTCAGAGTCCATATAGTATCTGGGTCGAGTCAGTCCATACCCCTGTGAGGTTAGGCGGGGGTTCAGTCTGTGGCCTTGGGATACAACGCTCCAACTGTAACCACTTGACTATCAGGTTGCGTGTCAGTAGTGAAAGAATCTGTGGCTTCGGTTTTTTTATCATATTGTGCTTGTATGATTTAAGTTTTTATGTGTGTGTGTGTGTGTGTGTGTGTGTGTGTGTGTGTGTGTGTGTGTGTGTGTGTGTGTGTTGTGCTATATTACCTCCTGCCTACCTGCTCCCCCACCCCTCTCTCTCCCTCAACCACCTATTCCCACCCACCCCACCCACCTACCCACCCCACCCACCTACCTACTCAGACCATGTAACGAGGCGTGATGACGAGCGTGACTCAGGCTTTTGTGATCGTCGCCATGTGAGGATGCTTTCAGTACTTTTTTTTTTCTCTCTCTCTCTCATTCCTTCTTCTCGCTCTCTGTCTTTCTTCCTTTCTACTTTCCTCCCCACCTTCATCACTTACTCCCTCCTATCTCCCTTCCTCCATTCATTCCTTCCACCCTCCCTATATCTCTCCCTCCGTTCCTCCACCACCAACACCACCGTCAGTAAATGAAGGATTCCCGACAGCCATTTCTTGTGTGCAGACGTTGGTCCAATGACTCAAAGAGAACCCGAGTGAGAGTCTGCTGGCGTCATGCACGATCCCTCTCCATCATGCACTGCACTAGTCTCCTCCATGACCGACATCCCCGCGACGTGTGGGAGACGAGTAAGAGCGGCGGCAGATCCAGAGAAGATGGAGAGCGGTGGGGAGTCGGCCATGACGCCAGCTCCGGGAACACCCTAAAATGCATCAACAAAGCTGCTCGTAACTCGCTGGCCAGAGGATGGGAGGGATAGGGGAGAGGGTAAGGGGAGGGATGGATAGTAGTGGACCTTGAATGACCCTATTCACCACAAGAGCCGCCTCAGATCCTCTTAAAGGGCCACTGTTTGAACCTGAGCGGCTCTCAACCGAGAATTTCTTCCGATTTTTTGGCTTGAATGTGTGGCCTCGGGCGCGCGCCACGGTGTTTACGCGCCAAGACGGGGAGGCAGTTTTGGCAGGATGTGGTGTTGTGGTTCGTTGGCCGCCCTTTTTCACCTGCTTAAGTTGGCCCTCGAGTACCCCGTGAGTGTTTTGATTTGTGACAGTATTATGTTGTCGTAATTTATCGTTATGAGCCACTGTGGGGAGGAATAGTGATTAACCGAGCGTCTCCTTTTGGTTTTATCACTAAACCTGTAAATTAATTTTCACCACTTTTACACTCACAGGAAGGGAAAAACAGGGCATTCGTGTGTGTGTGTGTGTGTGTGTGTGTGTGTGTGTGTGTGCCGTCATCCTTGACTGTATATACTGTACACACTTGTACTCTCACAGATCTTTTCCGTCACATCTTTAGATTCGCTTAATTTCCCCAGACTCTGTAATGTGTGAAGAGATCGTCACCCCTGTCTTCCCCTTCCCTCCTCCCTGCCCTCCCCCTTCCCCTTGTCCTCCTCCTTCCCCTCCCTCTCACTTCCCTCTCCCGTGCCCTCCTTCCCCTACAACCCCTTCCCCAACCTCTCCTCCTCTGCCCTCTTCCTCCCCACCCTCTCCTCCTCTCACCACTACCCTTCCTGTCTGTGCCCTCCCCTTCCCTCCTCCCTTCCTTCCTTCCCTTTCCCTCCTCCTCCCCTTCCCTTCCCTTCCTTCCCTTCCTTCCCTTCCTTCCTTCCCTTCCTTCTCCCCCTCCTCCCCCTCCCTCCCTCCCTCCCTCCCTCCTCCCTCCTTCACGCTCGTCTTGTTTACCATCAAATTGCCTGAAATTTTAAAGCTTTCTTTATTAGGTGTATTAAACAAACACTTGGGCTTTTATTCCTGTAATGTTGATATAGTACAACATAAAGCCACCTAACCTAACCTAACCAACCACGAGCTTTTGTCCGGTGAGTTTACACATGGACGACGGGTATCGACTCGGGGATGACGGCGTATGATTGGCTGATACGTTGACCTATGATAGAGGAGTTGCAGTCAGAAAGAATGTAATGGTAACAGAAGTTGTATTTTACTTTCACAAATTATGTATATTTTTAATCTCTTCTTCTCGGGCGCCATGATTATGTGATTGTAATTAGTGTTATTAGTGAATTATTATTATTATTATTATTATTATTATTATTATTATTATTATTATTATTATTATTATTATTATTATTAACAACACTATGTAAGACAATAACACCTCTCTCTCTCTCCCACAGGGATGGCGACGTGTAGGCGGCGGTGACGGCGTGGGCGGGGCAGTACCTGCGTGATGAACGGACGACGGGCGTGTGTGTGGGCGTGGTGGGCGGCGTGGGCAGTGCTGATCACGCCCGCCCTGGCCGATTGGGACCAGGACTGTCCGCCCAGCTGCAAGTGTACTCACTCCAGCAACCGAAAAGTGGGTGTCTGTCTGTCTGTCTGTCTGTCTGTCTGTCTACTCAGCTACGAGTATACTTATTCCTGCAAATAAAAGAGTTCGATTAGTTTGTTTGACTGTATCTTGTGTGTTTGTTTGACTGTATCTGGTTGTGTGTTTGTTTGACTGTATCTGGCTGTGTTTGTTTGACTGTATCTGGCTGTGTGTTTGTTTGACTGTATCTGGCTGCGAATACTGTACAGCCTCACCACTCAGCTGGGAATACTGTACAGCCTCACCACTCAAGCTGGGAATACTGTACAGCCTCACCACTCAAGCTGGGAAACATTATACACTTCACAAATCTGTTCACAGTGCAAAGAAGATTGGATCATTTAATATTTTAGAAACTGGAGCGTTTTGTAACTCTCTCTCTCTCTTCTTATTCACTTGACTTTCTTTTATTCAATTCCTGCTACTTTTTTTTCCTTTCTCTCTCATATATTTCGTTTCTCTCCGTTTTTCTGTCTCTCTCTGATCTCTCTCTCTCTCTTTTGTCAAGAAGCAGAGATGGGCGTGAGGGGATGAACGAGGAAAGTGAAAGAACGAGAGAAGAGGAAGATGGTGGAAGAGGAGAGGGAAGGAGAGATGAACAGAAGCATAGAAAGGGAATCGAAAGTAACATAAGAGAGGGAGAAGAGAAAAGGGAGATGGGTGAAAGTGAGGGGAGAGCGAGAGATAGTAACAGGTGAAAGAGAGGGTGAGAGAGGGAGGGAAAAAGAGAATAGGATAAAGATGAGGGGAGAGTAACAGGAGGAGGGGGAAAAGGAGGGAGGGAGAGGGGAAGAGTGAGAGGGGAAGGCAGCTTCAAAGTTAATATATATACGAGTATTTTTACATGGCAAAATTGTTTATTAAAAGAGATTTCAACACACTTAGGCGAGAGACAAAGTGTGTGTGTGTGTGTGTGTGTGTGTGTGTGTGTGTGTGTGTGTGTGTGTGTGTGTGTGTGTGTGTTTTCTCTCATATGCAAACTATGTATCACTAACTCCCGTGTATGTGTTTGGTTACAGCTGGCAGACTGTCGATCAGCGGGGTTCTCAACAGTGCCCACCACACTCAGTACAGAAGTGCAAGAGCTTAACTTAGCCAACAACAACATTATGTAAGTATCCCCTCCTCCCACTACACGTTTTCTCTTCCCTAAGCTATTTACTTTTGACATGTTTTTATCATCTGTTGTCTCTGATTTACTGCGTCTTTCCCATTTTTTTTTTTGTGACTCACTTTCGTATGATTCAAGGTTGATTTTCTTTTTATTTTACATATTGTTACCAATCTCTCCTTCCTTTACTTTGTCCACCTAACGCAGTTCTCATTACAGATACCTGGAGAAGGATGCTTTCAAGAAGGCCGGACTGGTCAACCTGCAGAAGCTGTACCTGAAGGACAACCAGATCCGCAGTGTGCACAAGGACGCCTTTTAGGACTTGCGGATTATGATCGAACTCGACCTAAGTGGCAACAGAATCGACAAGCTCCATCCGCATACCTTCACGGGTAGGTCGAGTCGCCTGGGGTGTGTGTGTGTAGGTCGAGCTAGAGACTGATAGTGCTTGCATAAATAAAAACACACACACTCTCTCTCTCGGTCTGCCCTTCTGTTAATTAACATTGATTCACACACACACCTCATTATTAATACCCTCACGGACCAAACCAATTAACCTGACATTTTACACCTGTCCATGATTAGATTTCTTTCCATAGAGTGACTTTGTAGTGTAGGTAAACTTAATTATGACTCCATATCATCTGTCACTCACTACCCATTGTTAATTTTATCTTTTTATCTAATTTCAAAATATTTCTGTATTCCACTGTGTGTGTGTGTGTGTGTGTGTGTGTGTGTGTGTGTGTGTGTGTGTGTGTGTGTGTGTGTGTGTGTGTGTGTGCGTGCGTGTGTGTGTGTGTGTGTGTGTGTGTGTGTGTGTGTGTGTGTGAGAAGGCAAAGTTGAATTTAATTGGTCAATATTTTTTTGGTCCTTCTAGTTGATCATTATTAATCATTTAAAGTTTAAACCCTAGAATACAACCAAATCTACACCTCTATTACGCTGTTGTATTAATGTAATGCTATTTAATGTAGGGAAAATAATAGGTCTATTTACATCAACTTTACGACCCGGTGTTATTATCATTATATATAAAAGTAATTCACTAAAGTTTTCCTCTTCAACGTTATTATACTTCCACAAAAGTTCCCACAAAAGTTCCCACAAAAGTTCCCAGAAAGGTCCCACAAAAGTTCCCACAAAGGTCCCACAAAAGTTCCACACCAAATATATTGTTTATTGTCTATACCGATAAAATAGTTTGTTGAGGTAAAGTTTCCTGCTACAAAAAGTGAAGTATTGTTTGTTTGTTGAGTGACGTATTGTTTGTTTGTTGAGTGACGTATTGTTTGTTTGTTGAGTGACGTATTGTTTGTTTGTTGAGTGACGTATTGTTTTGTTCAGTGAAGTATTGTTTGTTTGTTGAGTGACGTATTGTTTGTTTGTTGAGTGACGTATTGGTTTTGTTCAGTGAAGTATTGTTTGTTTGTTGAGTGACGTATTGTTTGTTTGTTGAGTGACGTATTGGTTTTGTTCAGTGAAGTATTGTTTGTTTGTTGAGTGACGTATTGTTTGTTTGTTGAGTGACGTATTGTTGTTGGTGAAGGTGGTGTGGTGGTTTTCTGTTAGAGCTATTACCAATAACACAGTCTCTCCTCTGTTGAATATTTATACTTTTACTACTAGACAGTATTTTGTTTGTGTCCCTGTGTTCTGTAGTTGTTTTTGTTTTATGCGTTTTGGTCTGGTTTTGTTGTGTTGGTCTGTTTTTGTTTTTGTTTTAATCTGGGTATTTTTTCTGTTTGGGTCTTTTTTTCTGTTTGGGTCTGTTTTTTTCTGTTTGGGTCTGTTTTTTTCTGTTTGGGTCTGTTTTTGCATGTTTTAGTCTTTGTTTTCTGTTTGGGTCTGTTTAAATGTGTTTCATTCGGATTTTCTTGCTTTTTTTAGTATCCTAGTCTGTTTTTCTATGTTTTAATCTGTCAGGTTAGGTTAGGTTAGGTTAGGTTAGGTTAGGTTAGGTTAAGAAGTGAGATATCTTAAAAAATGTATCCATCTGATCCCATTAGATTAGTTAAGTACAGACATGCACTCATAAACTCTCATAATTATACAGTAACGAGATTTTCTACGATGGATGCACTTACTTTTAACTTTTAACTTTATACAGTATATGTATTAATATTTTATCATGTTAGAACTAAAGTACTGTATACTCTTGTACTTAGGATATAAAGCATCTTTGATCACATAATGAAGTTCTCTGATGTATATGTAATAAAAATTTGACATAATTTGATTTTAATTAATATTATTTTTTACGTATATTTTTTTTTAATATTCTGACTTTTATTCATGAGTTTTTAACGTAATTTGTGTTTGTGTGTGTGTGTGTTTATGTTAGGTCTGGAGAAGCTCCGTGTGTTGGACCTCAGCATGAATCAACTCTCACGGTTAGATGGGGTCCAGTTTCCTCCTCTGCCTCACCTCCGTAAACTTTACTTCCGGGAGAATAAACTAAATTACATCCATAACTTCGCCTTCTCCAACCTCAAGCTTCTCGACTCCCTAAGGTAAGTCATTGTTAACTTGGCACTGTTTACCTGGCACTTGGCACTGCTTGATTCACTTGATGTAGGTCACTGTTTACCTAGCACTGTGGCACTATATAGGCACTGTTAATGTCTTCTACAGTACTGACCTGTATACAGTAATTGTGGTGGTGGTAGTAGTAGTTAACTGTTGAAATTGGAATTCAAAATAAAAACCAATACTCGACCAGCTGTTTATACTATACTGGACCAGCTGTTTATACTATACTGGACCAGCTGTTTATACTATACTGGACCAGCTGTTTATACTATACTGGACCAGCTGTTTATACTATACTGGACCAGCTGTTTATACTATACTGGACCAGCTGTTTATACTATACTGGACCAGCTGTTTATTCTATACTGGACCAGCTGTTTATTCTATACTGGACCAGCTGTTTATTCTATACTGGACCAGCTGTTTATACTATACTGGACCAGCTGTTTATACAATACTGGACCAGCTGTTTATATTATACCGATCCAGCACAACAAGCCGAGAGTTTAGTCCCAAATATAGCCCTATATAATCCTGGACCATAGTGGCTATAGTTGTCAGTATTACAGTGTGTTGGGGCGCTGACCAGTCTATACATCTCTACACAGTCACTCTCGCTGGAAGAGCACTAATCATTAACTGTTGAATAATGTACACTCACTCACTCTTGACTGTAGACGCGGAGATGATTGCCCCTTGGGTGTTCTATATTTCACCAGATTTTAATTAAGATCTTTACATAGTTTATTGGTTGTGCCTCAGTGATTTACATTGTTGGAACATCTTTGACGATTCTTTTTTTTTTTATCGGGTATATAGACAGTCTACTGAATACGCATAAATACAAGGGGGATACAGATGTGTTATTTTTATTTGAATTATCTATATTTATTTATTTATTAACCTATTACCAATGAGTCTTTCTTTGTTTAAATTTCTTCAGTAAATATTCAGATATTTTTATTTATTCCAACATTATTTTTCTCAAGTGTTATTCGAGACTGTAACGTATTTTTACCTTTTAATCCATTATTCTGATGTAAAATATTAGCATTATTCTATTATCCTCATTACCATGCTGTTAAATTATTATTACCCCCCGTTGTTAAATGTTAAAATTGTATTAGTACAGAGTTTGTATTTAAGAGAGAAAACTGTTGGAGAATAAGTTAATGTTATTTTTTTGAAGGGAATTACTGTACATTAGGTAGTAGTTAGTGTATGTGTGTCGTAAAATTAATGTCGTGGCTCTTTCTTCTTCTTCTAATTTTGTTTCATTATCATTAAACTTGATTGTAATTGGCAAGCCTTAGTGTTGTCTGCACCTGTAATTGGCATGACTTATTGACTTAGTGTTGTCTGCACCTGTAATTAGCAAGCTTTAGTCTTGTCTGCACCTGTAATTGACATAACATAGTGTTGTCTACATCTGTGTTGAACCACAAGCTAAACACAATTACTTATTTGTAGTTAATATATAGAAATCAGGTTAAAGTCCACCGTAAAATAAGGTTAAAAACATGGACGCCAAGTAGTGTTAATTAATATAAGGTGAACAACATAGGGTAAATAGGTTTATAAACCTTAAGAAACACAAACTGAACCAGAAGAAGAGTCTAAAATCTTGACGCCTCCCCCCAGGTTATCAGGTAACCAGCTCAAGTTGGTGCAGCCTGAGCTCTTCACCAACAACACCAACCTGGTGGAGTTAGAGCTTCACGACAATCAGTGGGTGTGTGACTGTCACCTCAAGAATCTCGTCCGCTGGGTGAAGAGCAGGTCACTTCTTCAGGTAAGTTGTTCGTCCATTGTTTTCTCTAGCTGAGGTATCCGGTGTTGCAAGGGTTTGTCTATTTACAGTATGTAACTCCAATATTATGTACAGTACAGCCACTACACTATTCATGTACACTATAGCCACTACACTATCATATAATGGTACAGCCTACTGCTACTTCTTTGCTGTCACTCCGTATCGAGTATGACGATCATCCAGCTATGATAAAATGATATGAGTTATTAGGGATGTCACCTACGTTTATTAGTTCTGAGATGACTAAAGAGGCCAATATGGGACTGGCAGGGTCGTTCACAGATGTTACACATGTGACGGGCTACATCTAGTGCGGGAGGGGCGGCAGCAGCGTCTTTCCAGTGTTGGCGCTTGTCTGCCTCGGTGTGCCGTCGGGCTAACTCAAAAGTATTGACACCTTATTGTGTGGTGCTCCTCCAAGCGTTACGGTGCTGAGTAATCTTCTCGCAGTGAGGAGATCGATTTGGCACTTTTTCAGGTTTGTCTTAAGACAATCCTTATACCTTTTCAATTGCCCACCAGCGTTACGTTTACAATTCGTTAGGTGACTGTAAAGTAGCTACTTTGGCAGTCTACTGTCGTCCATACCAGTAACATGGCCAGTCCAGCGTAGTTGTCCATAGATAATGGTAGCCTCGATGCTCCTACAGTTGGTGTCAGTGAGAATACTGGCATTTTTTCTCTTGTCTTCCCAGTGAACTAGGATGATGGAACGTAGACTATGTTGGTGAAAGTTTTCAAGTGCCTTGAGGTGCCTCCTGTATGTCACGCCTCTGCTGCTCCACGAACCCCAAGATTCAGACTCATGAACACAAAACATTAGATACCGATGCAACAATGCATTATTCTGTCCATAAATGCTTCTGGTTCAGAGTCTGAATGTCGGGGTTCGTGGAGCAGCAGAGGCAGCGACAGGAATTTTGTTTATGACTGAACATCCCCACGCTAAACTTTAACTCTATCTTTTAACTGCAGCCATACATAGTAAACAGACAGACAAACAGTCAGATATTGTACTTTGCTATATGTACAGAGAAAATTTCAAACGTTTATGATTATTATATTAACATTATATTATAGTGATAACTCTAATGTATTTTATTTTCCCCCCACAGACGCATGTTACCTGCCACTCACCTGAGCGAGTCTCAGGTCGTAAGTGGGAGGAATTGTCTGAGTATGAGCTGGCGTGTAGACCAAATCTTGTAGTACCTCAGTCTCAGATCCCGGCTGCCCTGGGCCAGAACGCCTCCATGACGTGCCGTGCCTCAGGTGACCCACTACCCCAGCTGAAATGGGTCCTTCATGGCCGAGTGTTGACCAATATGTCCATCATACCGTTCTCTCAGCCAGAGCAGAGATATGTGGTAAACGAAGTGGTGGAGGGTGAGGAGCGCTGGACCCAGCTCACAGTGACCCACATGTCAGATCATGACTTTACTTACTACACCTGTGTGGCAGATAACTTAGCCGGATTAGTGGAGCAAAATATATCCCTCATCCCAGCCACCCCGACACTACCTGGGGCTATTAGTCCTAAGACTGGCCTCGACCTGTATATAATTATTGCTATAGCAGCAGGTGGTCTGCTGTTGTTGATTCTCATCCTTATTTTAATTTGTTGCTGCCTGAAAAAGCGGAAGCGTCATGAATCAAAACCTCGGCCGAAGGTGAACGGTGTTGCTGGCGGGAATCACATAGAACACAAAAATGTGCTGATTGTCAACCCCGTTGAGAAGCCTCCACGCAAGTATGAGAAGGTGCCACAGACTGACCTGGAGTTGATGGCCCTCAACACTGATCCTGGAGCACACAGGAATTATGATGAGGTAGACTACCCTGAAGCTGGTCCTGCCTCTCACCGCACTCCCCTGGCTACGCTGGAAGAGGAGGACGATGATCTTCCCTCCCAGGATACCACCCTACCTCTCGACACCACCGCCACACCCTCACACTGTGCCCTCGCTGACTATATGGCGCACTACCCAGACTTGCTGGACATGACACGACCCAGAGCCGTGTCACCAACACAGCTCTCCTATCACTCGCTGGTGGCTCCTCAGTTCACAACACCTGGGGATTGGCGCTACAGCTACACTCATCCAGATTACCCTCACTACCCAGTGGCATATGCGCCGCCCCACCAAGTGCAGCAGCGGCCTGGGTATGTGACTCTCCCACGCAGGCATCGCTCCCCTTCCTGGGCAGGCCACCCCTCATCAGTTGAGCCAGACAGCACATCACCACCTCCAGCCAGTGAGGATGGGAAAGTGGTTCGTCTAGATCCCATCTACGACACACTAGGACCACGTACTACTGCTGATGGTACGTCACGTACTGATCTTACCCGGCCAGCATTACGTGCTGCAGAACCATTCACTCCACGTACACCACAGTCCCCTAACTCCCCACCTTCTCTTCCACCTTACTACACCCCAGTTAATCAGAGTACCCAGCCTGGCCGCCTTCAATCCCGAAATCAAAGCTCTACACTCCCTCGATCAACACCCAACCTGCTTGACGGCAACAGTGGTCTGAGCATCCCTCAACATGAGACTCCTTCCTCTCACCTGAACGCACGCGCGCGTCTGGCTGCCCACTCTCCGACACCGTCCAATGCTAGTACAGTACGCACCGCCTCGCCTGCTTACCGTACATCATCTCCCGTTGTTTCAGTGTCCCCTCAACACCACTCCCCTCATCAACCTCCCCTTAACGGCCACCACGCCACACCCAGCAAAAATCCTCTGGGCTCCAGTAACGAGTCTACTCTGGACAGTTCCTCCCAACACAACAACAACAATAACTCTGTGAGTGGCAAGAATAATGTCAACAAGGGTGACATTAGCCTGGGGTCGCCAGGAGGCCCAGTCATCGTGGCCACGTCTGGTAAGAAGGTTCCCCCTAAACCACCACCAAAACCCAATAGCAAACGGCTCTCCGTATCCTCAACAACTAGTGACTCAAGGAAAGCTTCCCTGGGTGATAATGGCCGAGTCTTCCAAGATGAAGGACCTGATGGTACTGAAGTGTGAAACTAAGTCTTAAACCTCAGGTCTAGTGTGTGTGTATATGTGAGACATTGTTGGTAGAGCCAGGACGTAAAAGTAGGGGATGATGATGATGGGGGTAGTGTAGTGAACAAAAAATTGGGAATTGTTTATTGATGAGAATCTGTTGGAGCTGCACAGGAATGTTGTCGAGAACCAAGACTGGACATCCGTGTTGGGTGAGTGGTGGAGCAGCCAAGGTGACGGGGAGGTGGTGTACTATAGGCTGGCTCTAGTGATTCACAAGCCTTCCAGTGTGGTGAAGATTTTTTTTTTTTAATTTTGTACTTTTGGATATGATTTTGTGCATATGTTAAGTGCAGGACATGTACAGTACAGTATATATATATTGTGGAAGCTTACCAAGACAGATGTATGGTGGAAGTGATCCCGTACAGTAGATGGTGTTTGATAATAATACACCAGGACCAGTGGGTGTGTGAGACGACAACCTGCATTTAAATATGGATGAACAGTCCATATGACCTCTGCAGTTTGCTGTGAATATAGATTATAATCTTCAAACCGAAGTTAAAAAAATGTTAGTTGATTTAGATGGAGTTTGATTACTATGCTAAATATATATTGTATTTTCATAACGCAAGTAGCACCAAATTTTGTATGTTCATATTTATTGATGAGAAAGCTTATGTGAAATCATAGCGCATATCTAGTGACCATTTGTGTATATTCTGCATCCGCATGAGCCATGGCAACCCCAGTTTGGTATGACGCAGTTTCAATATAAATTAACAAATTGTTGCATAATTACGATGATGTTCAAGTATTAAGGACACAGACTTTTGCTGCGGGTCCTGGTAAACCTTGTGGAGGATGACAACTGGTCACCTGGTCCACAGTGTGTATGATGCAGGGTTCTTATACATAGAAGATTATCTCAACACACATTATCCTCTCCTGTGTGACCATTACTCTTGTGGTGTTTATTGTTGTGTCTGTGATGTCATTATGGCGTGGCTTTCTCTGGCCTCTTCGTCTTGAAGCTACCATGAAAGGAAAGTTGCTTTTCAACTTAGTCTGGAAAACGATTGCAAAAAAAGGTTCATTTTCAAGTTAGTATGGAAATCTACCACAATATATTTTATTTTATTTTTCATGGTAGTTCACAAATTAACGCATTTATCTTTTTTTTCAAGTTAGTCAAGAAATTACCACAACATTTTTTAAAGTTTGTCTGAAATTACAATAATGTATTATTATTGGCAGGTGTAGTGTGAAGATACCATAGATATAAAGTTTCTTTCTAAGCTAGTTTGAAAATTACTACTTACACAAAAAAAAAAATATTTTTAAAGTTAGTGTGAAAACTATTACAAAATGAAAGTTACTTTTCAAGTCACGCAGAGAACAGTGAGCTTACCGTGGTGGAGCTGTGTACAGGGACCCTGACTATGATCAGTTGTGGTGTGGCAGTGTTAGGAGTGTCAAACCTGACTGTAGAAGTACAAACTTGTAATAACAATCGCTGTTTACAATCAGTTAGCTAAATGGACCTTCCAGACCTAATTTTAAAGTAGCGGTAAAAATGTGAAAATTTCTGCAACCATAAATTATTTTGTGTTGGCTTTGGGCCTCGACTACAAGGGAACAATTTGAGGTGCTTTGTTCTTGTCAAGCTTCCTTCATAGTGTTTATCATTTACAAGTTTGTGGAGTTCAGTTTAGTTTGATTGAGTGAAGTGACTTTCACTCTTGCTACAGTATATGTTAACCTGTTTCTTTTAGTTGTGTGAAGATTATTTCCATTATTCATTCTGTAGGAAGTTTGGATTATGTTTGCTTGCACACACTTGGCTTTTTTTCCTCAAAATTAGCTTTTATTTTCTATAATTTTACCAATGCAGAAGATTTCGGTTATTAAGGCTTTGATCTCTTTACCGTTTGAGTAATGAAAACGAGTGCCAACTAGGAGTGTTGAAGTTGATTCATTCATAAAACAATGGCATAAAAGACATTCAGAATGAGAGCATCATACCGCAGACCTTACAGGGTGGGTGAGGGAGAGACACAACCCACCTCTTCTTTTACCCCCACACAATTTTTGATGTACTGAAATGCCTCAAGCTCCCACACCAAGACACTAATTTACTTCTTTCATGTGGGAGACTTAGTGGGAATGCAACTTCTTGTCTGTCTTCTTAGCAAAACGTGTGTTTTAGTTCATAAAAAACAAAAAAACAAAAAGAAAAAGAATAAAGAAACATGCCCCTTGTTGCTGTGATGTCATAAACCTGTTTGTCAAATTCAATTGTTTTATCCATTTTATTTCTGTCAAAACTTGGCTCATTTTTCCATATAAAAGTATAAGACGGTTGTGGTGTTGATGGCCAGAATCTCTCTTGCTCCGTGTGAGGTGTAAGAGGATGCTCAAATCACCTGGTCTTCTGCCCTGAGTGTTGCCTGAAGGTGAGTGCTTCCTGACGATGTAACCTGGCATAGGCAAGAACCAGTAAAGTCAGCTTCTTCGAGTTGTAAGATACAGATGCATTCCCAACATAGACAGATGAATTCCAGCACTTACAGGTGTAGCCTAGAAAGACAGGTGTTCCAACATGTGTAGAAGATAGGCTAGGAGGCCAAGGAGCAGAGGACCACATTAGAGTATTTCTTTGATATGTTACAGTTCCTTAGGTGATGTGGTCAGTCGTATAGTGTGGCCAATCAGATATTGTTACCATAGTGTGGTACAGGATAAAAAATGTGGCTAGGGTGTGTTGCAGGGTAGGAAGGTGTGGCCAGGGTGTGTTGCAAGTTAAGAAAATGTGGATCGGGTGTCTTTCAGGATTGGAATGTGCGGCCAGGGGGGGATTGCAAGATAAGAAAATGTGGCCAGGATGTGTTACAGGGTATATGGCTAAGGTAAGAAAGTGTGGATAGGGTGTGATAGTTTGACCAAGGTGTGTTGCAGGGTAAAGAATATGTGGTCAGGGTGTCTTGCAGGGTAAGTGAGTGTGACCAAGGTGTGAAAATGTGGCCTGGGTGTATTCAAGGGTAACAAGGGTATACAGGTAGTAGTAATGAAAAACTACTGGTGTGGCCACGGTTGTGTTCGAGGAGCAAGATGGGTTGGCCACACATCATTCAAGTCAAAAAGAAGAAAATACATGAAAAAAAAAAGATCAATTTGTGAACATTCCTACAGAGACGATGTCCTGGTAACTGTAAGGCACAAATTGAAAGTTAATAAAAGATTACATGAAATAGTGTGTTTGATTCTCTTGCTCCTTTAGTTATCTTCCAAATAGTGTTGAATGGATCACCTGAAGATTAATCCCCCAGCTTATTTCAATTGGGAATTAACTACTGTACCGTAATTTCTTAACTTAACCTTGATGATGTAGTAGCTAGTGTCCTCTCTCTTCAAAACGTATCTGCCAAATGTTTTGCTAGACAATATGATAACAGGCACAGGATTTTGACAACCCTACCAAGACAATAGGAGTCGTAGTGTTCATGCTAACACCCATCGGACCCCACCTTGCAGATGCCTTCTATAGCTAGTGTACACTGTCCCAAAGAGTATTATTAGATTTTCCATCGCTACAATTGGAAACGCTAGAGATGAAATGTTTTGATATGATCCCCAGTGCATCATCATAAATGGTACCCCTGGTCGCCATATTAGCAACAACTAGAGATGGGGGTAGGATTGGGGCAGGCAGTTGTCCTTTATGGCATACCAGATACTTCAGTATAACAAGATTTCCATAAAGCAATGTATTAATGTATGTGACGTGCTGGGTAGAAGCAAGGCATATGTAAACAAGCCACTGGCTGATGATTACAAACGCACTGAAATATTCATTAAATGGAAATGTTTCGGAACATCATCCATGAGACTGAGACAGACCTCAAAACGGACATTTATGAACAGTGACTAGCCAGGGTCGCGGAACCCCCAGAGACTTCACAGAGGCAGTGGCACCCATCAGGGGCCCTCCCAAGGGCGGCGGAGCCCCCAGGAGCCCTGCCACAGGTTGTGGCGCCCTGAGGACCTCTTCCAGGGACTGTGGCGCCCCCAAGGCCCTCCCAGGGACGACAGGACCCCCTAGGTTCGTCGCAGGTGGCAGTACGCCCCCAGGGGTTCTCCCAAAGGTGGCAAATCCCCCAGGGGCCCTGCCATGGGCTGTGGCACCCCCAAGGAATCTTCCAGGAGCTATCGCGGCCCCAAGGCCCTATCGGGGGCGGCGGCACCTCCCAGGGTAGGCAGTGCTCCCACGGGTCCTCTCAGGGGTGGTGATGACCTCAGGGGGACCTCTTAGAGGCGCCCCTTTACGGGAGCACTATAGCCTGCTTGGTCATGGTGTTGTACATATTGCATACGTCCACCAATACTTTACTTAACTGTGATTAGTGGACTAAAATGTAAATACACTGAATAACAACCAATAGGAGAACAGAGCACTCTGTCAGCACAACACCCCAACTTATGTTTTCCTGTTGGATATTTAGTCTCCTTTATAGTGTTTCTGATGCGAAGATACTGGAAATGCGATGGACTGTGTATTTATTTCACGTCATATCTCCCATTATTCTAAAGAGTGATAAACTACTGCCACAAGGGGCCCTACAAGAACAGCGCTCCTTTGGGCCCTCCCATATGCCCAACCAGGTGCGGCGCTTATGGAAGCCTTTGCAGGGGCGGCGGCAAACCCAGAGGTCCTCTCAGGGACCACAGGGTCCCTCCAAGAGACTGTGACAACCCCAGGGGACCTCCCAGGTTGTGCAACGACACCAAGGGCCCTCCCAGAGGCAGTGGCCACCGAAGGGACACTTCCAGGTCGGTGGAGCCCCCCAGAGCCCTGACTGGGGCAATGGCACCCCCAGGGATCCTCCCAAGGGACTGAGGCACCGTGAGGCCTTCTTCCTGGGAACGTGGCGCCCCGAAAGCCCTCCCAGGGGCGGCTGTGCACCCCAGGGCCCTCCCAGGGGAAGCAGCGCCCCAAAGGTTTTTCCAAAGATGGCAAACCCCCCAGGGGCCATGCCAGGGGCTGTCGTACCCCCAGGGTCTCTTCCAGGAACTGTGGCGCCCCCTAGTCCCTACCAGGGACGGCGGCTCCCCTGGGTCCTCTCAGGATTGATGGTGCTCCCACGAGCCCTCCCAGGGGTGGTGGTGACCTCAGGGGGACCTCTTAGAGGCGCCCCCTCCCTGGAGCCCTATGCCTTGCTTAGTCGTGGCGTCGTACATATTGCATACGTCCGGCAATCCCTTACTTAACTCTGATTCGTGGACTAAAATGTAAATACGCAAAATAACAGCCAATAGGAGAACAGAGCACTCAGTCAGCACAACACCCCAACTTATGTTTTCCTGTTGGATATTTAGTCTCCTTTATATTGTTTCTTATGCGATGATACTGGAAATGCAATGGGCGGTGTATTTATTTAACGTCATATCTCCCATTGTCCGAATTAGTGCAAAAACAACTGCCTCTAGGGTGCCCTACAAGGGCAGCGCTCCTTGGGGCCCTACCATTTGCCCCACCAGGTGTGGCGCTTCCAGGGGCCCTTGTAGGGGCGGCGGCGGCCCCAGAGGCCCTCCCAGAGCCCACATGGGCCTTCCAATAGGTTGTGGCGCCTCCAGGGGACCTCCCATGGCCTGCAACGACGCCGAGGACCCTCCCAGGGGTGAAGGCCAGCTAAGGGATGCTTCCAGGATCGGCGGAGCATCCTGGAGCCCTCCCAGGGACAGTGGCACCTCCCAAAGGCCCTCTCAGGTGCGGTGGATCCCTCAAGAGCACTGCCAGGGCCTGTGGCACACTTTGGTCCTCTTCCAGGGAGTGTGGCGCCCTTAGGGCCCTCCTAGGGGCGACAACGCCCCCCATGGCACTCCAAGGGGCAGCACCACCCCCAGGCGTTCTCCCAAAGGTGACAATTCCCCCAGAGGGCCTTGCCAGGGGCTGTGGCACCCCGAAGGCCTCTTCCAGGAGTTGTGGCGCCCCCACGTCCCTACCAGGGGCGGCGTCACCCTCTGGGGCCCTACCAGGGTTGGCGGTGCTTCCACGGGCCCTCCCAGGGGTGGCAGTGATCCCAGAAGCCCTCTTAGAGGCTCCCCCTCGCGGGACAACCATAGCTTGTTGGTCGTGGTGTCGTACATATTACATACATCCGGTAATCCCTTACTTAACTGTGAATGGTGGAATAAAATGTAAATACACAAAATAATAGCCAATAGGAGAACAGAGCACCCAGTCAGCACAACACCCCAACTTATGTTTTCCTGTTGAATATTTAGTCTCCTTTATATTGTTTCTGATACGATGATACTGGAAATGCGATGGGCTGTATTTATTTAATGTAATATCTCCCATTTTTTTAAATAATGATAAAACAATTGCCCCCAGGGGCCCTACAAGGGCAGCACTCCCTGGGGGCCTCCCATTTGCACTACCAGGTGGGGTGCTTCCAGGGACCTTCGCAGGGACCCTATTAGAAGAGCCATCTCCCAGAAGCCCATAGCTTGCTTGGTTGTGGTGTCGTACATATTGCATACGTCCAGCAATCCTTTACTTAACCCTGATTGGTCGACTAAAATGTAAATACACAAAATAACAGCCAATAGGAGAACAGAGCAGTCAGTCAGCACAACACCCCAACTTATGTTTTCCTGTTGGATATTTAGTCTCCTTTATATTGTTTCTCATGCGATGATACTGGAAATGCGATGGGCTGTGTATTTATTTAATGTCATATCTCCCATTGTTCTCATTAGCGCAAAAACAACTGCCCCCAGGGGCCCTACAAGGGCAGCGCTCTTTGGGGCCCTCCCATTTGCCCCACTAGGTATGGCGTTTTCAGGGGCATTCGTAGGGGCGGCGGCGACCCCAGAGGCGCTCCCAGGGACCACAGGGGCCTTATAAGAGGCTGTGGTGACCCCAGGGGACTTAACAGGCGCATTAACGTCACCAATGGCCCTCCTAGGGGCGGTGGCCACCTAAGGGACACTTCCAGGGTCGCGGAACTCCCCAGAGACTTGCCAGAGGCAGTGGCACCCCTCAGGGGCCCTCCCAAGGGCGGCGGAGCCCCCGGGAGCCCTGCCACGGGTTGTGGCGCCCTGAGGACCTCTTCCAGGGATTGTGGCGTCCCCAAGGCCCTCCCAGTAACGACAACGCCCCCCGGGTTCGTCCCAGGTGGCAGTACGCCCCCAGGGGTTCTCCCAAAGGTGGCAAATCCCCCAGGGGCCCTGCCATGGGCTGTGACACCCCCAAGGAATCTTCTAGGAGCTGTCGCGCCCCCAAGGCTCTATCGGGGGCGGTAGCACTTCCCGAAGCCCTTCCAGGGTAGGCGGTGCTCCCACGGGTCCTCTCAGGGGTGGCGGCGACCTCAGGGGGGCCTCTTAGAGGCGCCCCCTTACGGGACCACTATAGCTTGCTTGGTCATTGTGACATATATATTGCATACTTCCAGTAATACTTTACTTAACTGTTATTGGTCGACTAAAATGTAAATACACCGAATAACAGCCAATAGGGGAACAGAGCACCCAGTCAGCACAACATCCCAATTTATGTTTTCCTGTTGGATATTTAGTCTCCTTTATAGTGTTTCTGATGCAATGTTACTGGAAATGCGATGGGCTGTGTATTTATTTAACGTCATATCTCCCATTGTTCTAAAGAATGATAAACTACTGCCACAAGGGGCCCTACAAGAGCAGCGCTCCTTTGGGCCCTCCCATTTGCCCAACCAGGTGCGGCGCTTTCGGAGGCCTTTGCAAGGGCGGCGGCAACCCCAGAGGCCCTCCCAGGGACCACAGGGGCCCTCTGAGAGACTGTGACGACTCCAGGGGACCTACCAGGGGATGCAATGACGCTCAAGAGCTCTCCCAGAGGCAGTGGCCACCTAAGGGACACTTCCTGGTCGGTGGAGCCCCCCAGAGGCCTCACAAGGGCAATGGCACACCCAGGGGTCCTTCCAAGGGTGTCGGAGCCTCCAGGAGCCCTGCCAGGGACTATGGCACCGTGAGGCAATTCTTCCAGGGAACGTGGCGCCCCGAAGGCCCTCCCAGGGGCGGTGGTGCCCCCCAGGGCCCTCCCAGGGGAAGCGGCGCCCCCAGATGTTTTCCCAAGGATGGCAAATCCCCTAGGGGCCCTGTCAGGGGCCGGGGTACCCCCAGGGTCTCTTCCAGAAACTGTGGCGCCCACTAGTCCCTACCAGGGGCGGCGGCACCCCCCAGGGCCCTACCAGGATTGGCGGTGCTCCCACGAGCCCTCCCAGGGGTGGTGGTGACCCCAGGGGACCTCTTACAGTCGCGCCCTCCCGGGAGCCCTATACCTTGCTTGGTCGTGGTGTCGTACATATTGCATATGTCCGGCACTAATGTAAATACACCAAATAACAGCCAATAGGAGAACAGAGCAGTCAGTCAGCACAACACCCCAACTTATGTTTTCCTGGTGCATATTTAGTCTTCTTTACATTGTTCATGATGCGATGATACTGGAAATGCATTGGGCGTTGTATTTATTTAATGTTATATCTCCCAATGTTCTAAATAGTGCAAAAACAACTGCCCCCAGGGGCCCTACAAGGACAGCGCTCCTTGGGGCCCTACCATTTGCCCCACCAGGTGTGGCGCTTCCAGGGGCGCTCGTTGGGGCGGGGGCAACCCCAGAGGCCCTCCCAGAGCCCACAGGGGCCTTCAAATAGGTTGTGGCGCCTCCAGGGGACCTCTCATGGCCTGCAACGACGCCAAGGGCCTTCCCAGGGGCGAAGGCCACTTAAGGGATGCCTCCAGGATCGGCGGAGCATCCTGGAGCCCTACCAGGGATAGTGGCACCTCCCAAAGGCCCTCTCAGGTGCGGTGGAGCCCTCAAGAGCACTGCCAGAGGCTGTGGCACCCTTATCGCCTCTTCCAGGAGTGTGGCACTTGGTAGTCCAAATGGGAGGGCCCCAGGGAGCGCTGCCCTTGTAGGGCCCCTGGGGGCAATTATTTTATCATTATTTAGAACAATGGGAGATATTACATTATATAAATACACAGCCCATCGCATTTCCAGTATCATCGCATGAGAAACAATATAAAGGAGACTAAATATCCAACAGGAAAACATAAGTTGGGGTGTTGTGCTGACTGGGTGCTCTGTTCTCCTATTGGCTATTATTTTGTGTATTTACATTTTATTCGACCAATCACAGTTAAGTAAGGGATTACCGGATGTATGTAATATGTAAGACACCACGACCAACAAGCTATGGTTGTCCCGGGAGGGGGAGCCTCTAAGAGGGCTTCTGGGATCACCGCCACCCCTGGGAGGGCCCGTGTAAGCACCGCCAACCCTGGTAGGGCCCCAGAGGGTGACGCCGCCCCTGGTAGGGACGTGGGGGCGCCACAACTCCTGGAAGAGGTCCTGGGGGTGCCACAGCCCCTGGCAGAGACCCTGGGGGAATTGCCACCTTTGGGAGAACTCCTGGGGGCGGTGCTGCCCCTTGGAGTGCCATGGGGGGCGCTGTCGCCCCTAGGAGGGCCCTAAGGGCGCCACACTCCCTGGAAGAGGCCCAAAGGGTTCCACAGCCCCTGGCAGTGCTCTTGAGGGCTCCACCTCACCTGAGAGGGCTTTTGGGAGGTGCCACTGTCCCTGGGAGGGCTTCAGGTTGCTCTGCCGATTCTGGAAGCATCCCTTCGGTGGCCATCTCCCCTGGGAGGGCCCTTGGCGTCGTTGCAGGCCATGGGAGGTCCTCTGGAGGCGCCACAGCCTCTTGGAAGGCCCCTGTGGGCCCTTGGAGGGCCTCTGGGGTAACCGCCGCCCCTGCGAGGGGCCCTGGAAGCGCCGCACCTAGTGGGGCAAATGGTAGGGTCTCCAGAAGCGCTGCCCTTGCAGGGCCTCTGGGGGCAATTATTTTATCATTATTTAGAACAATGGGAGATATTACATTATATAAATACACAGCCCATCGCATTTCCAGTATCATCGCATGAGAAACAATATAAAGGAGACTAAGTATCCAACAGGAAAGCATAAGTTGGAGTGTTGTGCTGACTGAGTGCTCTGTTCTCCTCTTGGCTGTTATTGGGTGTATTTACATTTTATTCCACGAATCACAGTTTTGTAAGGGATTGCCGGACGTACGTAATATGTACGACACCACGTCCCTATGAGGGTTCCTGGAGGTTCCGCCGCCTTTGGAAGGGCCCCTGGGGGCGCCACAGCCCCTGGAAGGATAACCTGGGTACCCACAGCCCCTGGCAAGACCCCTCGGGGCTCCACCGACCATGAAAGTGCCCCTGGGAGATCCTGAAAGCGCTGCCGCCCCTGGCAGGGCTCCTTGGGGCATCACTGCCAGTGAAAGAGCCCCTGAAGGTGTCACAGCCTTTGGCAGGGCCCCTGGGGGCGCTGCTGCTCCAGAGAGGCCACGGGGAGCACCGTCACCCCTAAGGAGGGCCCCTGGAGGCCCCGCCGCCCCTGCGAGAGTCCCTGGGAGGACCGAGGCTCCTCGGTCCTTGGCAAGGCCCCCGCTGCCTCTGGGAAGGCCCCCGCCACTTAAGCATTTCTCTAGGGCTATGTTCCCATCCACGCGTAGGAAGTTGTCCAGAGGAAGGGGAAGGAGGTTCGGGAACCACTCGAGGAGGGTGATGCGTCACGACTGTGCCTTCCAAAGAGGAGCTATGAGTAAAACCCTTCCCTTCAAGGAACGAAGCAGGAGACAGACTCGGAGAAGGGTCTTGCAAGCCGTAGGGGAGAACAGGGAAGGCCTGGGAAACACAGGAAAGCGCTTCCGGACCTCACTAAAGCTGGGAAGCAACTGATGACGTATCAGGTATGATAGTTTACTCGTCGGGAGACTACGACAGAAAACTGAGTGAGGGATGAGTGACTCAGCTCCTGTAGTAGTTTTTTTTTCTTTGATGTGTGTTGTGTATATAATTAGCCATCGAATTGGGTGAGAGAAACAATTTCTTGCAGGGTCCAACTTATACTGTACTGTCACAAACGTAAGCTTACATCTACAAAATTGATAACATTATAACACGGAAAAGAAAGTGCAACTATCATTGTATAACATGAGCTGACAGAGACATCTATGTAAGGAATCACTCCACAAAGAATAATACAAGGAAGCAATGAAACATACAAACAAAACAACGAGACATGTTACAACCCCAACATAACAGAGTCGTAATGTGAGCACTTGGTACCTGTTCGCATTCTGGGCAAAAGAAAAAATGCAAACCTTTAAAATGAATCACTTATATATAACTATAAGAGTGAGGGTTCTCAGACAAGTTAAAAAGTGTACAAAAAAGGTTAACTACTTAAGTAAACTTACACTTAAGAGGTTGATTCGTGTATAAATAAAGATAGAGCCTTAGTAAGTACTGGTTAGGTTGACACAGACTCAGCAGGTGTTGACCAGATTGACAACTTGAACACTTAAACTATAATGGAAGTGGGTGGGAAGGGGAGGGGAGGATGAGGAGGAAAGGGAGGGGAAGGAGGAGGAAAGGGTGAGGGAGGAGAAGGAGACATTAGTCACCCTCGTTGACCCAGAGGTAATCTGCATACCATTAAGGAACGTGTTCTAGTATGCTTTCCTACACGTTCTGAACTTGTTAAGACATGTTCCGAATTGTACTGGACGTGTTCCGACTTGTTCTGAAGTGCTTAAACATATGACTACGTTTTCTGGAGTGAGACATAATGCCACATGTTTATGATGTCATGGTAGATTTGAGCAAAGAAGGACTCGGTATCTGCCTCCCCTCAGGTGTGGATAGTTTGGTCGAATGTTCCTAGGATGATCTGTCGTAGATGGAACCCGCCTGCGTCAACCTTGAAGGACTTGTGAGTTTCTCAATTATCTCGTCGGTCAGTGTGATGCCGGTCTGTCAAAGGAAAATAAGGATGATGATGACGATGACAATAATAATATTAATCATGATGTTTTTTTAATCAATCTTTTATTCGAGGTAAAGTTTTGCTTTATCTTCTTTCTGGTAACTAAAACAAGAAGGTAGCGTAAAGGAGAGAGTTTATATCAATTGCAATATATCCACACTTTTCTAAATTTCACTCAAGAATCCAAAATATATTGCTTTCCAATATTTACTGTAACTTTCTTTGTATATATTCAAAATTCTATCAACTACTTAAAATGAGAAATAACACACATACACACACACACACGCACACACACACACACACACACACACACACAGTTTTCTAACATCTGTGAAGGAACCTCCAGGAAGTCCCTCTCGACCCGTGGAGAACGTTGATTGCTCGAACAGAGGCAATGCATCACAAAACCAAACTCGTGGAAGTACGTTTCTACCTGCGATAGAGTGAAATTATTAACTACTACCTTAAAGTATTGTATCTAGCAATTAATTTTAGGCTTATCTGATGATTTACCCTCACCCCATACCCTTTAACAGTTTATTTCATCGGAAGATTGACCACAGTAACACTATATGGGGGATAGGATAGGATAGGATAGGATAGGATTAGGGTGGTTAATTTTTAAGTGAAATAAGCTGGGAAGGAGGAAATCAGTTGAAATAAGGTGGGGAGGCAGATTTTTGAGGTGAACCACTTTTATTTTACTAAACCACTTGAGGATGACACCAAACCCGGTATAATAAATGGTCTACAACACGTAAGATATTTTAACCTTTAATCAACACAGCTAAGGATTCCTTCCCCACACCGCCACCATATGCACAAAAATTTGGTTTTATAATTAGTTAAAAACCGGAAGATTATCTGTAATCACCAGGTATTTTGCTAGTTAGATCATATAGTAGAGGTTTAATGATTAATATTTCTAGTATTAAGACAATTGTTTGACTATTCTATATGTATATTATTCCTATGATAATCTGACAAAACATTTTTATCTCATTTTAATCACCAGTAAGTAATAATGATTCGTTCTTGTCAAGATCAACCCAACGTTACGCTTCCTAATAATTAGCTTCTAGTCTTTAGGCGACCAGTTTTACTCAGAATAAAATAATCAATATTATATTTCTCTTCGAGTCACATACACGCCCGGCACGTGCACACCACTGTGACGTCACTAAACAAAACAATGGAGGGGCCGCAGGGTTATGGGAAATCGTGTAAACAATACCATGCCATTCACAGAGTGATTCCAGCCAAGTAATCATTTTTTTTAATCTGATTGGGAATCCGATCGTTCCGCTGTCTCGCTGGTTCATTAGTCTTCTGGACAAAGGCTTTGTTGATGAAGTTTTTATGGGAAATTATAACGCAGTGAAACGATTTTCTGGAGAAAAGCGAGATTATAACATCGAGTTGGCGGCTAAAATCACAATTTCTCATTCAACTTTTTTAACTCATTTCGTAGATTATATTTTATAAGAAATATATAATAATCCCCCAAAATAGGATATGTATTCTTTTGATGACAGTATCTAGATATTCCAAAACTGTTGTCAAACGAAAGAGACACAAAAGTAATGTTGCATGTTTCCCGACCATAGGGAGCGCTCGACACGGCTACCACGCTAAAATTCCCCAGACAACACCACAGTGATCACACAACCCGACTATTTCTGAAGGGAATTTTGGTGAATAGGTAACAAACCGTTCTAAATTATCCAATTCAACCTAAATTAACCTATAATAATTCAGTTTAACCTAACCTAACCGAACCTAAACTAATTTCACCTACCATAGTCATCTTATAATCTGTAGTCCACCCTTACCTCACCTAACCTAATATCTTAACATAAATTGAAACGACATAATCTAACGAAGCCTAATCACAAACTAACTTCATCCAATCTAACCTAACTTAATTTAACTTTTAACTAGCTAAACTAACTTCATCTAATCTAACATAATGTAACCTAATATACCCTGATTTAACAACTACTTATAACTAAACCAACTTCATTCCATCTAGCATA